AATTTAATTCATAGCGCTACCCCGTTCGTTGACTTCTCAATTCGCTCATAAATCATATCGAAAGATCCATGATTTACCCGATAATTAGGTTGATATTTCGCCGACTTGAATATAAGTTTATCTTTTTTATAGAAGCTCAAATTATATGATAAAAGATAACATCAATACATGTCACTAGTTTTTCGAGTTTTTCAAGTCACATTGAAGACTATAGTGTATAATTGACATTAATTACATTGGCCTTCGAGAAAGCAGAGAATAAACACTTTCTTAGCTGTTTTATCAAGTTGTTTCAACAGATTTTTAATTAAATCGTATCGCTTTTTTTACTCTTACAATTAGTTATTAAGTTATCACTATAAGTAGTAATAATCTTAATCATATGATAAATTCCATCATTATTGAATCAGTAAACATCCCAAGTACAATTTAAAAAATTTTTAAAGTTATAAAGTTCGATGTCCATTGCGTATCTAAATTTTATTGTAATCGAGGGGAATTATAAGAAAATCGCGGTTGACACTCTAAAATACAAATAAAAATAATTTTTTTTTTCTTTTTTAATAGTAACGATCGCAACTTGTGCTTACAACTTCCGCCATGCATCGGTGCATCCGGCGCACAAAAAACGCGGTTGCCGCAACCTCGGCGAAGTACACGGTTTTCTCTGCTGCACAAACGTGCGACTCGTTTGTCGAAAAAATAATACGAAACCCGCGTCGAAAGTTCAGACCGCAGAGGTATCAGAGCGGCTTACGTGTGCAACCGCTGCCAGGAATACCGATGCGAATGTCGCTCGAAAGAAAAGGAGAAGAATGAGAGCAAAAGGCGCCCGATTAATCTCTCTCGGACGCGCGAGCGCATCCGATCGCAAAGCGCATAATAAAATCGCGCAAGAAGAGGAGTGTTATCCGAGAGAGAGAGGGAGAGAGCAATGGGATCCTCATCTAAACAGCAGATGATGCGTTCCACGTTGACGGGGACGGAACTGCTTCACTCGCAAGCCGGAAAATTGCGACTCTTCCCTGAAGATCGAGCTTTTAAATCCGGAGCCGGAAAGAATCCGGTTTCCTTCGCCTGATCTATCGATGTAACACGCCGACAAAATGTATATGTGTGCGGTCGTGTGTGTGTGCGCGCGCGCGCGGACGCAAGGGAGACCTTTACGAGCGTGGAGAAATTGCTGCTGGAGAGATCATCCGGACGAGTTATGGAGGTGCAAGTATAAAGGCATGAAGCAAAAATGAGAGCGAAAAAAAGAAAGAGAGAGGGAAGGGGGGATAAGTAATGCAATCACGCTGCAGTGGAATCGCTCAAGCAAAGGGCAGCTTTATTCTTCGTATTTAAGTCAACGCCGCAGCATATTAAATCTAAAATAAACCAGACAATTATATAATAAAAATGAATCAAATATAGATAATTAAAAAATATATAAAAATAAATTATAAAAATAGATTATAGGAAAATGTAAAAATAGCTATAAAGAATTTAGATTATTTTTGGATTATATAAGAAAAACGGCGAATATTTCTGCCTCCGTCAAATAAAAGTTAAAATAATTCCTCTTTCTGTATTCGCATGCAAAGAAATATCGCGTACATATTTAACTTTGATTTGGCAAAATAGTTCATGACCAGTGTTTTTATTTAAACTTATTATGTCAAAACTTTTTGATTTTTGATACTTAATAGCTTCAAAACTAAAAGATCCAAAAAAGAATAAAGCTTATCTAATTCCGCTTCTCTAATTCCGGAATGTTTTCTATATTTAGTTGATTGTAATTGAAAGAGTGATATGATACCTTGTTAGGACTTAGTGTGTTTGAAAACTTTGCTTTGTAATTTTCTTAATAAACCTACCATATTAATCCGATATAAATAAGCTCTGTATATTACTTTAAAAAATTAACATTGCAAAAACGAAAAATAGCTGATTAAAGATTATACGTGGCTGGCTGGGTAACGGAGTTAACCACCACGCAATTTGCAGGTAGCAATCGCTGGAAAAAAGGAACGTCATAAGGTCACAAATAAAAGTAAAACCGGCGTATCGCTGACGGAAACGAAACGAGGGTGTAAAAATTGACGGGGCGCGTTGATAGGAGCGCGGAATTAGCGCTCCGGGTGCATCTGCCGATTCGCGTTCCGATCGGTGTACGCGCGGCGGTTAGAAATTTCAAGGAGGCATCGGTCATAAATCCGCTTCGCTTATCCCCTATTGCGCCATGTAGAAAGGGAGAAAGGAAAAGAGCGAGAAAGAGAGAGAAAGAGAGAGAAGAAAAAAACACGGAGATCAGAGAAAGGCAGGAGGGTGATAGTAAAAGTAAGCGTTGCGCGAAGATAACCGGTAACAGTAACCGGCAAAAGCGATGCACTCTCGAAGCATCGACCTGCGTGCGCTTGTGCATTATCTAACGCGTATCGCACGGCTGCATGTAGTATTTTTCTCGGGACGGGGATGGGAGACAGGAGATTTCGCTGTATGCGCATAAGCCGCTTTTATCTCGGCATAAATTCAAGAATGCGAGAGAACGATCTCTCTCTCACGTGGGTACCTATACTAAGGTACGAGATTGTATCGAAATTAATTACCGTAATAATATCCTTAACGCAGGAACGACGAAAACTGTATGTAACAGGAAATGGCTTTGCTCATACGCGCGAGGATCTAAAGGTTTTTACAACGCAGAGGAACGTTTCTAGTCGTAAAGACTAAATTTATTAATATATATAGGATTCTCATTCGCGAACAAATGACGTATATATGCGACACAGTCGGTTACAGTTAAAAATCTCTCTCAGATCTTTTTTCCGATTTCACAAAGGTTAATATATGTAGGTACACAACATTCTCGGAAGAGCGGGCGTGCTACTTCGACGTCGTTAAATTCTTCGCACAAAAATGGATTTACGAAGGCAAAGCAACGCCGCCGGTCAATTCACGCGAATGGAAGATATTCGCGGAGTTCGCCTCGGGGCGAATTAAGTCTCGGGGCATCTTTATGGAAGCGACACAAGCGCGCCCGGCGTCTAAAAAAATCCTTCAGCTTCATAAATCATAGGGGATTTAGATAAGAGATTCAGATAAAAATCGTGCGCGATGCGGGTGATTATCTAGTCGGGGGAAAAAAAATTAAATGCGGAGGGGCGATCGATCGATACGACACGCCGAACGTAATCCGGATGGAAATGAACGAACGCGAGAACGCGCGCGCGTCGCTTATCGGTCGTCGACGTAATTTGGTGGAAATTAAAGCCGATTGATCAATCATTAATAATTAAAGCTGTTTGATCAATCATTGATACTTCGCGGACGCGCGAGAGGCGTTAATAAGTATGTTTGCCGCGATTGAATCAATTCAGATTGTTCGTCGATTTCCCAGGTAATTAATCATCTCTCTTAAGTTCTCTTGTTAAGAGAATTAATTTTGTGCCATTGTCCATTCTTTCGATATCAGAACGTGATAATGACAGGTCGGACACATGGGTCTTTCCAGATCTGTGTCTTTATTAGCGAAAGATCCAGATGGAATTTTGCTTATTACATGATCAATACGCATACCTATTCTTTATAAAAAGAATCTCATAAAATTCATCCGACTGTGAAATAATTTTCTTTTGTTTTTAATACAGCCCTTTAGATTATTTGCGACTCAAATTATCTGTAATTTTTTCTATCGAATATTGTAACAAAATAAAATAAAGCATAAGGTGAAATGTATAATATAATATGGAATAAAATATATAACAATATAATACAATATAAAATCGTATACGTAATACAATGAAACGTAAGGGAGATGTACATGTATTTTCTCTCGCCGGATCTCTTTAACGGGTCGCCTTTATCGATGGCGTTTTATCAGTTTCTCTCGACAGTGCGGTCACCGTATACTTAAATCTCCTTGGTGACCACGCGAAATCCACTCTTGCGATAGCACCTCACTGTGGCGATGCCGCTCGTTACTTGCGCGAATGTATTCATGGACGCGCGTGAAAAGCGTATATTTCGCGAGTCGCGGAGCGCGCGATCCCGCGCGGACGCATTCCGCGGGTCAACTGACCGCGACGACCAAGAAGAATTCAGCCTATTGCGATCTCGCAACGCCAGCTGAAACTTTTCGTCGACCTTGCGTAATCGCGGTCGCGCGTTCCGCGCAGCCGAATTGATCGGCGATCGACCGGGTAATCAACCTGAAGATCGCTCATGACCGCAAATTACGGAAATAAATATTTACATCAATTACGTCATGATTTGCATCACCACGAATGAAATCAAGGATTATTTTTTCGTGTTCTTATTCCGAATACTGCACCAAAAATAAACCGGGTCCATCGCTGATTAATATTATTACGCGTAAAAATACTTCGTATTTCTTGTTCACCATGACTGACCGCCGCTAAACAAGCGATCAAGAAACCAAAAAATGCTTGCATTGTGAAAGATTAGATCTACTGAAGAGAAAAAGCTGCTGCATATATATATGTGTGTGTGTGTGTGTGTGTGTGTGTGCGCGCGCGCAATATTACATGCATGTGATACGTAAAAAGTCAGATTTTACATAGTGGATAATTTCGATTAAATAACAACATTGAGAGCGCATAAATATCACATTAATTAGAGATATAATTTAGAATCTAATTTGTATATTGTATAATATAACTGACTGCGTGAGAGATTCTTCTGTAAATATTTAACTTTATGCATTAAGTCAACTTCTCAGTTTTATATACTAAAAGATTTATATAATTATTTATTTCTATTCTCTTCTCTCTTTATTTTATTTTCTCTTCTCTTTCACCGGACCTCTTTTTTCATTTGCATTACAAAGGATTTTTCTTCGCTAAATTTGTCAAATGTATTTATAACAATATCACATACACTTATGAATGTTGCAGTAACGTAATTAATTTGATTATTGTCCAATGGAAATGAGAAGCGAACAAAAACATTAGTTTCTACATCAAAACAACAAAAACGATTGATTTGTTATTATTTTGTTATTTGCATTGGTAATTTATTTAACTGATAGGAATACAGGAAATACATTTTGCAGAATGTATTTGCTTATATTATATTAGTAATTAAATTATAAATTTCGTAAAACAAAATGGCATTCTAATAAACATATTAAATAATATCTTTTAATTCTTTAAATTCGTACTGATCCATTTTAAATCGGATACTCTTGTGAAAATCTTTAAACGTGATTCGTACGTCGGTGCAGAAAGTTCATCAGGGTCTCCATTGCTGCTTAAGATTCCAATTTGATTTCCATTGGCTACTAAAGGGCTACCAAAGAGATACTAAAACAAAAATTTTTCGATTATTAATAATAAAACATTAATATTATAAATAACAATAAATTATTCCAAATTATTGTTATAATAATTTCAGTATTAAGCTATAATTAAAATCGGCTGTATAATAAATATTATTAGATGCTATTAATATAATGTTTTATATTATAAATATTCTTTCGGTGTTGTAACATAAACATATATGTATCAATTTGTTTTATAATATTAATAATTGACAGTTTACTTGTAACGCAAGTTCTTTTTCTCCTGTCAAAGCACAAAATTGAGTAGTCGCCAAGTCTTCCTGATTATCCCAAACTATCAACTCAACTTCTTGCAAGGAATCAATAACGACTCCATTAAAAGCCTAAAAAGGATAAATATTATTTGAAATCGGATAAATGACATTCGAAGGAAATGACGAACAATAAATAATTATTACAAAATCTTTTCACTTGTTACTTTTCATTTGTTATATTATATATAAGAAGAAAATAAAATGAGTTTTTCTAAAAGAGTGCCTCATTCTTAGACATTAAACTAGAAAATTCCTGTATCATGATGAGTTCGATATTACCCCTCTACTTCCCCATCCAGTTAGTGTGCACGGATTGCCAAAGAGATCTTTATCGGTTGTCATAAGATTTATCGGTTGTACTAGCTTGTTGTATTCGATAGGAGTTTTAAGGTGAATTAAGGCAATATCATAATCCTCAGTGGTTTCATTATATTTTTCGTGGATGGTAACATCGGCTACGTCATAAATATCTCCTGGCACGGTAAAGAAGTTTGTTCCGACATGAGCTTTTAGCTTATCCAGCTCATCAAGGCTAACGAGATAAAACGAGCATATATATAAGTATGTATATGTATATATATATTTACATATTATGTCTAGTTTTACATAATATGTGTAGTTTTACATATAATGTTCATTTGACTTATTAAAAAACTAGTTTTATATAATTATATTTCATTAATACGATATTGACATAGATTCAAAATGTGTAACATACTTGATACAATATGCTGAGGTTAATATGTTACGATTATTGAGAATAGATCCACCGCATTTGTCAACCCCAGGACCGGAGATGTCCTCATATCTCAAAATAACTTGATATGGAAATTTGCCGATTGGAGCATCTCTGCTCCCCAGGGGACCTTTATAAAGATCCGGATTTCCTTATTGGAAAAATAAATAAATAATGTTAATATACGAGCGAACTAATATCTGTTACATTACGACATATACTTTTATTTAACAATAACGATAAAACAATTGTGGCAATTTTACGGCTAACAAAATAAATGAGCTGCAGTTCGGGTAAGTTATAGATTTATTTTGAATAGAAATCTTTTATTAAGGAAAAAATTGTATCGTTCTCGACACATTAGTTTTTCATTTTAAAGTTATACGTATTTAGAGAATATAGAAAATGTACGTATTATTTTACATCTGTTTACACAAATAATTAATTAGCGACAAAAGTTGTTGATATTTGAAAATTAAGATTTAAGAAATATGATTAATTATTTCTAGAAGTGTGTATATATTAAATATATACGTACATTAATATTTACAGAAGCTATAAATGCTATACAATAGATATTAATGACATTATTAATAATTTTGCTTATGTTGGAAAATAATTGCGCTTCATATATTATCAAAAAAACACGTGTTTTTTCATTTCTTTATATATATATATATATATATATATATATATATGTGTGTGTGTGTGTGTGTGTGTGTGTGTGTGTGTGTGTGTGTGTGTGTGTACTTATCTTTATCTTTTTATTATAATAAAATATTTATATAAATAATTCATAAATTCGTACCTCGAATGGCGTGTGCCAGAGCGATAAATACAAGACAAGCTAACGCACGCATCTTTACCTGTAGATTTGATGACTGGAAATGAAGTAAACAGGGGTTTTTATATTATCTTTCTAAAGTAGTTGAAATAAAAATATTTATCATGTTTGTGACACTTTTATAAATTCTGCTCAACTCGGTATCGCTATAAAATACTGATATTTACAATTTACATTATGCATTTCTTAAAAGAATTTGTATTTACGTCCATTTATCTGGTGGTAGCCTCATGATTAATTTCCTCTCTTATCGATTACTTATATTTCGATTACTATATTCGAGTCTACAGTATCTTAGAAGCTTATATCTTAGAAGCTTAGTATCTTAGAAGCTAAGCTTAGAAGTCAATGTGAATCTTGCAAAGAGAATCTTATAAATAAGATCTACAAATCCGTCTGGTCAGAATCGTTTTTATAGAAGAAGAATGTATTTACTTTAACCCTTTGGACCAACGGTTTAACGTCTCTTTCTAGTATAGAATCGTATTCTTATAGATATAAGTATATTTATAGAATCGTATTCTTATAGATATAAGAAAAGAAATTTTATTTGTAAATAAGAAATACATTTTTAATAGAATCTCGAATACAAGCTGTTTGCATGTTAAAGGGAATAAATATCATTTAAATTGTATCTAAACTTTGACTACCATGTCACTCATGTTTGTTGTGTGAATTTTTGCCAGGGTCCCACAAACTTCTGTAAATACTGTGGTATATGTATATTTTATATAAACATATATATACTTCTAAAAATAATTAATTATTTAAACATATTTTTTTACAGAAATTTTACAATATAACCAGCACCATAGAGTTTTTCAATTTTAACATCCTTAATTTTTCTGTTAAAAAAAATCGATTTTTTACAGCTATATTTTCGTATCATTTCAACATTTATACCATGAGAACCCGATTCATCATTCTTAATGATACGTCAAGAGACTCTACACACAGAAAGGTTTAATCCAGACACTGTGGTATTAATTCTATATGAACGATATATATATACATGACTTGCGAATTTTTATAATCTGACCATATTTCACCGGCTTAGTTTGTAAGTGACGGTTTTTGTTTAGCGCGCTGAAGATGACCTTATTACAGGTCGAAACGTCCATTACATTATTATTATTTTAAAGTAATATATTATTAGCACGTTCACCTTGCTTAGTTCGTTAAGCCCCTTTTATCTCCTTTATTTTAAAATTTTCTTTTTATCTACCAGGGTCGTTCAATAAGTCAAAATGTTTTACATTAGAAGACAAAGGAATTGCACCAACCTTCAAAAGGACACATTAGATCTTTGTGACGATTGTTCTTCGATTATCGAGTGACTTCCACACAACTGACATTCTTTGTCTGTTTTATTTATTGACTAGCTTTATTTCTTTTACATATACTGTACCTTGTGTACAGTGTTTTCAATTTTGCACGAAAAATTTTCTAAGAACTTATTGAACGATCCTCGTATTATTACAATATACCAGATTTATTAATTTTTGCTTCCTCATAGAGAAAGCTTCGTTTTCGTGAAAAAAAATTTTTAGAGTATCTTTGGCAACGGTTTAGAATGTTCTAAAACGTCGAAAAATCACTTTTGTACAAAATGTCCGTGTGTATGTATGTATGTATGTATGTCTGTATGTGTGTGTGTGGGTATTGTTGTCCGTATGTGCTCTAACTTCCGTAATTTTTTAGATATCGGGATGTTTTTTTTAATCGATAGAGTATCATGTAAGGAAGGTTGGTATTGAATTTGGCGATGATCGGTAAAGGGGTTCTTTTTTAAAAAAATTTTGAATTTTTTTAGAAATGTCCGTGGTTGCTCTAACTTCCGCAAATTTGGAAATATCGATCTATTTCTAATTGTATTATATTTTTCAGTCTTTTCTATCCCTATTTTATTATAATTTTTTAAGATTTAGTTGATTAGCTTTATACGCGATCAAAGGTCTATAATTTTATTCATATAAAGCTAAGTCTAATCAACCAAATTTAAAAGAATTATATATGAAATAGGTGTAGAAAAGACCGAAGTAAAAATTGTTTTTTGAGTTTTCGATGCCAATGTGTTGCTTATGTTCGAAAACGTCGAAAAATCGTAGAATATCATTAAAGGTAGGTTAATTGATGTTGAATTATCTTTTTTTTGTTTATGGTATAATTTCCGCAATTTTTGAGATATTGGGATGTTTTTTTCTTAATCGATAGAGTATCATTCAAGGCCAAGTGCAAATTTCTAATTTGCACAATTTTTTAGTTTTAAATGTTTTGTCAGTAAAGAGTAAACAATCCCAATAATAATAAAGAAAAAATAAATTTAATTAATGAAAAATAAAACCACTTTTTGCTTAAGAAAAAATCGATTCGATCGAAATTGTAACGGAGCGGAAACGACGTGCACTTTTCTAGGCAAACAAAGCAAACTTGATAAAATGTTCGAATGGCGGAAGGAGCGGTGTTCCATAAGAGTTATTCACACGCCGGTTTGGATTTATAACACGCGATAGTCAATTTATTCTAAGATGATTCTTATTACCCTGTGGTTTCTATTTCCTACAAATTAAATACCTTTACACTTTAAACAAAACATACAACTTTATTAAAACATTAATAATAAAATTAAGCAAAAAAAATTACAAACAATTTTGAGCATTTATTATAATTTTAAAGTCCTGTTTAAAGATGCTTAATTTGTATACCGATTTGTAGCTGCTTAATGTTTTCAAAAAAACTTCAGGAACTTTTGTGTCACCCTGTATTTTTTCAGATAATTTTATCTGAATGATTATATATTTAAAACAAATGTACTTAAAAAATATAAATCTCTGCTTTGTACTTACGACTAGCAGACACGTAGCAAGCAAGATAGCCTTTATATTCTGCTCTATTCTTTAAATATTCTCCTTACAAGAAGTATTTATAAAAGTTGCGACAAATTTTCTCTATATATATACCTCGGCAACGTATTTATTCTGAAAATAAATTGAATTATGTTTAGCCGTCATTAATTTTGTTTATTTTCACTACTGTTATCAGAGACGGTGACAGACGTATAACTAATTGGTACCGGAAACCCACCTTTTCGGGACGATATATTAATTATTACAGAAAAAGCAGAGAGATAGCAGAGATGTTTTTCATTAGGAGACACGGCGACACGATAAATATGCAAAAAGATACGGAAAATTTGAATGCATTATATGATTCAGTGATAGCTGCTATATAACGTCTGCCTTTATTTATTTCATATGTCTTTATTCGTTTCACATTTTATTTATTTTCATATTTCTTTATTTATTTCACATTCTATTTATTTCCATATTTCTTTATTTATTAGCCTTTATTTATTACCTTTTGTTTCTTTTTCACATGAATTATTTATTTCCGTATATCTTTATTATTGCAAATTAATGTCATTGCTGTTATTGTTAATTTGTTTACTGTAACCACACCGTTGTCTCGATAACTTATTTCTCCGTTCGCCAGTTGCTCTTTTGGAACCACGGTGGCTACTTGCTACCTTGCTTAAGTAATGTAATATGTGACGTCCACCATGGCACTCATTACATTAAATTAGGAAGGCTTATGACTCATTTTATTTTGTCTTTTCACATGTGACTTTTATCGATGTAACCGAGGTACTTTCTATTTTTTATTATATCAATTTGGTTTATCACTCATTTTGGCCATGACATGTAACGTTTTCACTTATTGTCAAATAAAAGAGGAAGAGGAAAGAGAGGAAAAATGACCTCTAGAGTGAGCGAGAGAGAGATTGATTGATTGATGTTTATTTATGCCATAGTCAAGACTTTAGACAAATAATGAGTTATACAAAGATACAAATGTGATATAAACAAAAGCGAAATATAGCGGACAGAAGTTGGTGTGAGTTAACCAAAATAGATGCAAGACGGAGTGTTATCGCTACCAATGAAGCAGTAAGTAAAAATGGAAATAATCAAGATAGTATCGACAAGCGGTGATACACCCCCGGTTGAGGACGCGACATAGGCATAAAGGAAAGAAATTAAAAAGATGAAATACTCAAGATAAAGGATGCTACTCGCCCCTCCGCGAAGGATGCCACAAGGAAGCGGTAAACTATTACTAATTTCGCAAAAAAGAAACTAATTGCAGGAATAATAACATAAGAACTTAAAACTAGATTACATTTTTGAAGTCAACAACAGTATATATACAATGACTATATCACACTTAAACTAAATTACACTTAAACTAAATATCACAATTAAACTACATTCCACTTTTAAAAAAGGCGTGTGTTACCTGAGTGAATTTCGTTTGTATCGTAAAATTGAAGCCTCTTTTCCGCGATGCCGATTGGCTATCTCGATTGATTGCCGCGCCGAAGCTTGCTTCATCCCGTGACGGACTGTCATCGCGGAGTGTGGCGAGTTTCGTGCGTGTAGTGCGTGGTGTGGCGTCGGTTACGTTTCTTCATCGCTCTATCTTCGTTTGATATTCGATGTGCAACGAAGATAGAATGATGCTTACAGCGCGTGTGAGCGCGTGAGCGCCCAAAAGGAACGCACCCGTCGTGTCGCGATTATTATTAATAGCATAATGTTAAAGCTAAATGGCGCGCGCGAAGCGCGCGCGTCTGTAGTGTCTAGTATACTTAAACGGTAGATAGCCCCACGGTAGAACCATGAACAGAACTCAGCTCGAGCGAAAAAAGATGGTCTTGGAGCTTTCCCTTAAATTCATTGACAGACGATAAAGACACTACATCGATAGGAAGCGAGTTCCAAAGATAAATTCCCGCAAAGTGGAAGGAATTGTGGTAAGTTTCAGTTCTATGAATGGGGATTTGGAAGGTCTGTGGTGACGCCAATCGTGAGAATCGCCTTACCGAGGAGACATTCCGTTGGATTAATATAAAATTATCGTTAATTGTTTGGGCAGATGTGCACTCCGACGCGACGATGCTTAGGAACGTGTCGGAGTGCACATATACCCAAACGATTAACGATGACTTGATGTTTGCGGTGTAGAAGGTTTTATATAGTCCTACATTTATGTTGAATTTACTGTTATACAATGCGCTGAGGAGGACCCCAAAAAAAGAGTCGAAACGTTCGTAATTCTGATCACATGTATTTTATAATAAATTTGAGCGGTAAAACGGCACGCTTGACTCTTATTGCCCGTATTAAGTTTTAATTTTTTTAATTATAAAGTCTTTACATATATAGCTACAAAAAAGTAACTTTAATATAAATATAAAAACGAATTATAAACGTATCTGTCTTAAGGTTTAGACTCTATTCAATGTAACATTTAATAATCTGGTTATAATTTTAAAACTAATCAACAATATATAAATAAAAGAAAATTGTAATTATGTTCTTAAATTAGCGGTTGGCGGTGTAGTTGTTAAAAAAGTTGAACTTATTGTATATCACATAACTGACTGCTGTCGTTTGAATAAAAAGAGATCATGGAATTAGCTAAGAAATTTCACGGCTCACGGGTTTTTCGTAATAATGTACAGTTCACTTACCAAATTCACAGTCAATCTCGTGACAGTCACCAGAGTCTGTGTTCTATAACGAGACGATCGAGAAGACGATCTTTTCGAGCCAAGATCAGCGCATCGACTAAACACTTATTGTTAGATTCAATTACAAAGGTGAAATGGATACAGAACAATATCACGAAGCATCGTATGTAAAAGAAATAAAGCTAGTCAATAAATAAAACAGACAAAGGATGTCAGTTGTGGAGAAAGTCACTCGATAATCGAAGAACAATCGTCACAAAGATCTAATGTGTCCTTTTGAAGGTTGGTGCCATTCCTTTGTCTTCTAATGTAAAACATTTTGGAGATACTCCTTTTAATGTATGTAATGATTTCTCCATATTTAGGATTTTAATGTTATCCCAATCAAATTTATGTCCGTTCAATTTGTGTATAGGAACTACGGAATAGTCTGTAATATTTTTTTGATATTAATTTAAAAATTATTGACGAAATTATCGAAAATGATTGGTTTCACAAATCAACTTTCTCAGGGAGATATATCTTAGTATTTTTTCGCATCATCCTTTCTGTCAGAATGAGAGTGCATAGTTATCTCTTTTTGCTTCTATCTCCGTTCCATTACACAGCTATTACTTCTTTCCTCTCTTCCTCCCATCTTTGTAAATATCATCATGTTGGAATTTTCGCGCTTAAAGTTAAGTTTCTTCTTTCAAAAAATCTTGTAAAGCTTCTCAGCATTTTTCCCCTCATCTAGTCCGCATTCCTCGGCCTCTTCTAGATCATGTTTGCGTTTCCGATAAAATCTTCCTTTCTTCTACTTCTTTTCTTAATGTTTTTTTCAAAAATTATAGCGTAAATTTTTTATGCTGTGTTAAGCAGCGTAATTCCTTAATAATTTGATGTTTTATCTTTATATCCTTTCTTAAATATAGGGACAATCACTTCTTTTCTCCAACTTTTTGGAAACCATTCCCTATTTCATACTCTTTCAATGATCGGGAAAGAGTTGCCTCTCAAAATGCCGGGTATATAGTTTCGCGCGTTAAAATGCGCGAAATATTCGCGGAGATTGTTAATCTACACTTTTAAACGGAGGAATTCGGAGTAATTAGCCGAACTCGGGAGGGGATAGTAGCGAAATACGCGATCATAAATTACAAGAATTTCAGTAATTACGAGTTCTTGTCGAACGTTTTTACATCGCGGAATGCCGATCGCGTCTCGAACTATGCATCGATAGATCTTTTCGAACCGCTGCCGATTCGCGTTGTTAATTTAGCGTCCGCGAGTTCTTAAGTCGAGACGAAGCGTTAATCGCGAATATTCGTGGGGGAATATTCCTGGGCCCATTAACATACCCGATACGTTTCTTATGAAATTCATGCATCCGCTTTGTTAATTCGCATTCTTCGGCGACGATCGAGCATCGAGCTAAGAATCCGAGAATTTCGCGAGAGCGCTTAAAAAAAAAGCTTAAAAAGTACAATTCAAATATGCGAGATGCGTAATGGAATATAAATACATTCCGCTGATCGAACCAATAAAGCGTTCGATCGTTCGTTCCGCCGATCTGTCTTCGATCTCGCAGAGTCTATCATTGATCGATCGAGTGCGGAATTCCACGAGCGACAATGATGCAACATTGTTGCAACTATAACACACAAAAAAACTATTCCTGCCTAAAAACTGGCTATAGCGGCTGAAATATTGATTTTTATTTTTAACCACCAGAACCACGTAAATATTTTTTTCTTCAATAAGTAAATAGATAGACCGGTATTTATGCAAATATTTTTTGCACACTATATATATAATGTGTGTAATATATGCATAACGTATTTTTTTTTCTCTGAAAGCTAAACCTCCGCGCCGATGTGCGTAACGTATAAATGTGTGTGTCGAAATATCAATCTGCATTTTTAACCGCAGAGTGTCCGGCATGAAAGGGGAAAAACGCTCGCTTGCGACAAGCGAGTCCCCCGGCCCCGTCGTCGCCGTCGCGACGAATAAAGCGCGGCCCGCAATTAGCGACGAGGATATCCGAAGGGATTCGGAATAGCGATGGCTTTTCGAGGAATTTACGTTTCCAAGAGAAAACGAAAGTAAACAAGCAAAGCGATTTAGCGTTTCGACACTATTGCATTCGAAATTTTGCGGCGCGCTTACGCAATATAACCGGCACGAGCGCGGCGCGGCGCGGCATTCGGGAAATCGTGGGTGCAAAGGAGAAATTTATTCGACGTCGTTGCGTCACGACCGCCGGAGTGTTTTATTCTATCGGATGGCCTCTAGGACACGTGCACGCATGCGGCACTCGTATCGCGCGTATACTCGCGCGGGCGCGCAGGAGGCGTTATGCCGGAGCGGATATGACAATTCATATTGAAATTAATTGCTGCCGCGAAACGCCGCGATTACGAG